ACCAAATTAAGATCTTTTCCAATCAATTAGCTCTTGCACGAATTTTTTGATTTGCTAGCTGTTCATGGACTCATAATATGCTCATAAAATCAAATCTTTGATTTTATTTGATTATTCTACTATTTAAATTGATTTATTTTGATTTAAATGGATAAAAAATCAAAATAAATAATAAAAATAATAAAATAATAGGTGGATAAGCTCAGGGGTCGTGGGCCATCTTAGGAACAAGTTTCAAACAATAAAACATGGGCCCATTTGGAAAAAAAGTCATTTTGATCAATGTTGACTTCATGCACATTTCCAAAAATTGGTCAATTTTGACAATATATATCTCCTTCAATTTTAACCCTAAAAGGGTGTTCTTGGACTTTTTAGAAAGCTTAGGATGTCATCTAAACAACCCTTTTGGTTTCATCTCACTTGGATCTTCCATGTTCATGTAAGAAGCTTTGACCCAAAAGGTGTTTTTGTTGACTTTTTCAAATGACCTATAATGTCTGAATTTATATCTTTTCACGAGTGCATTTCTTGAACTTGAGGGATGAATATGAGTTGTAGGTAATTGAATCCTCTTTAAAGTGAGCCTTGGATGGGAAATTTCTGATAAAGTATGAGAAAGTTATGTCTGGTCAAAGTTTGGTTGACTTTTCCTATAGAAACCCTAATTTAGCAACTTTTGAGTTATGATGAATTTGGGGAATTTCTTGAGGGATCATGATCAACCCTTGATAAAATGATGGATGTTACTTCAAAATGTTGATGTTGACCAAAAATCTTGAAGTTTGACTGTATGTGGGCCACAGTTGACTTTTGACCTAGTTTAGTTGATTTTTAGGCATTTGAGCAGTTGACTGAGCAAACTTCTTGTGCAAGGCATGAAACTTGATATAGATGGTCTTGAGAACATATTAAGACCATGGAAAATATTTGAGACCTTAGGAGAGCATTTGTCTGGTTAGTTCTTGGGCATCCTTGAGCAAGTTGAGGACTTCAATGAGTATGTTTTGAGTAAAATGAGAGGGAAAATTTTGGGGTACAACACTATGTTATGAAAAGGGAAGGTGTCAGCACCCTTTTCATCTGTAGTTATCTACGGGCTCTTAGTTGTTGCTAGATCACTTACTTTTGTTTGAAAATGTTCTTATGGTGTAGGTTTTGAAAGTATTTTGAAAAGTGTCTTTGTAATGGTTCTCGTCTCTATAAAAACACGTAAAAGAGCTTTATCTTTTGAAAATGTTTCAAATGAAAGTGTTGGTTTATAAAATGTTTTTGTTGTGAGCAAGCGAGCAACTAGGAGCATCCTACCTACTCAAAAGGTCTAATATTATTTTCCTTCTCCTTTAGATGTTGCTATCTTACCATTGATTTGGTAGAAAGCCCCATCATTGGATGTGAAGGGACAAATGTGGTACGTTTGTATAGTCATAGAAGGTAACCTATGGGACATTTTAGCAATGTCGTTTAGGGACTAGATCGTTTACCGGAGGCAACATTGAGGGTCATCGAGGGACTACGGTCTTTTATCGAGGGTCTTTGCTAAAACGCCCATATTCGAGTGACATGACTATTTTTTCTCGAGGCAACAAGTGAGATTACCCTAGGGGTGCATGTGTGTGAATAGTGTGTTTGATTGCATGCATTTTGTATTTTGAATTTTAGGTTATCTACTTGTTGTTTTTATCTTACCATACATCCTAATTACTAACATTTATACAAAATCCATACAAATGTAAAAAATAAATCCTACACTATTACAACCATATTAAAATAGCAAGAAAGTATAAAGACAAAATAAAAATAAAAAGAAGTAAAATGAGCTCTTTCGATTCAGGATGAAGCATCCTTCGATTCTACACTTTTTGACCTCTTTCGATTTGGGCCCGGGGTCAGCAAGGTTCTGTCCTTCGATTGGGAGCTGGAAGTCAGCAAGGTTCTGTCCTTCGATTGGGAGCTGGAAATCAGCAAGGCCACCTTCCTGGTTACTTCCTTCATTTGAGGCCTAGAGTCAGTGTGAGATGCATTCTACTGGCTACTTCCTTCGTTTGGGGCTTGGATTCAGTGTGAGATGCATTCTACTGGCTACTTCTTTTGTTTGGGGCTTGGAGCCAGTGTGAGGTGCATTCTTTGCCTCAGGCTCCTTGCTGGCTCCTTCGACTGTAAGCATGCTAGGCCCTCAGGTTGAGATTCGAAAGGCTTGAGCTTTTAGTCAATTGAAGGGTACAGTGAACCTGTCTTAAATTCTTAAAATGCAACATTCAAGTGTAACTACAGGCCAGGGGTTAGCACGGAATTATTGGGTCTCAAAGTCCAAAGCCTAACTAGTCAGAGTTGAGATTTTCAGCATATGGGCAGTCAGAATCGAAGGTTCAAACTTGGTCAAGATACCTATATAAAATATCTACATTTTTATTTATTGGCATGTGCACATGATATTTAAACAAAATAGATTCAAGTTTAAAGGGAACTTACCTCTTGAAGTTCTTAAATCGAAGGAAACTGCAAGTGTCTTCCTTGGTGGTGAATGGAAGTTCGTTGGGGCCTTCCTAAGATTAATCCAGTTACTACTTTGTGCAAACAGTCACTGAATCGAAGGATGGTGTGTGAGTGGATCGAAGGTTCTTTCTATGACAAGTAATCGAATGAATCAAAGGGTCATTGTATTATAGTTGGGGAAGTGGGTCGAAGGCTATTTAGATGGTCACTTGGGGGTGAATCGAAGGATTCACTTAGTGTACAAAGGAGGTTGAGTTTTTAGAAGTGTTTGGAAAAAACGTTGGGAGGTGTTTGCGAGTTTTGGGAATTTTCCAAGAGTTCTCTTGCAATTCTTCAGGCGCCCCTAACATGTGTGGTGGAGGCTCATATTTATAGATGGCCTTGGCTAATGTTTTAGGAGGGAACACAAAAAGGGAATGTTGTGTTTGTAGCTTTCGAGGGACAGTGTTTGTATGCCATTTTGGTGCAAGGAATAAGGCAGTGTTGCAGGACTGCTATGCAGTAGTTTTGGAGTTTTATGGCCAGTGTATCAGGCCTGAACCTGGCAGCGCATGGGACTTGGTCAACAAGTACCTTTGGGCATCTCAACCTTTTATATTGACCCCCTAGCCCTATCATTCGACCAGACTTTTCAGCAATCATTTCTTTTTTCAAATCGAAGTGTCCTTCGAATGGCTCATGTGGGTATCCTTTGAAGGGACCCAAATAAGTGTCTTTCGACTAGGCCCTTCAAGGGTTCCTTTGAATGGTACAAATACATGCTCCTGGGGTGGGTCAGCAAAACATGTCATTCGATTGGGACATTCAGACATGTCTGGAAAGTCCTTCGAATGTGCCACCATGGTACTTCTTTCGCATGAGACAATGGCATATTGTAGAATTTGTGTGTTGAAGCAAGCCATTTCCAAGGGAGACACTGCCCACTCAAACTTTTCTGCAAGGGGCCATATGGCCAAACGAAAGGGTGTATGTAGGAGGTCCCTGCTTTGTGACTTTATGCAAATATGCAAGAGATCTTTGCACAAACGAAGGCTTGTATGAAGGGAACCATATGCCTAAACGAAAAGTGTGACCAAAAACTTGTACTGAAGGATTCACACACCCCAAACGAAGAATGCATGCAGAGGATGAAGGGAACAATCGAAGCTTGCAACATAGGGAATGCCATATGCCCTAAATAAAGGAGGCTTGCAGGAGGCAAGATGTTTAATCGAAAGAGAGAAAAAGAGAGGCTTTTGCCTCCTGAATTGAAGGACATCATCAGGAGGTTTTTTGCCATGTGAATTGAAGCTAGTTGAAGATAAATGTTGCCCTGTCGAAGCTTGTAACAAGTTGCTTAAAAGGGTGACTTTTGCCTTGTGCATGTTAGCATGGTGAGGAATTCTGCCTTGTAAATCTTGGCTAACACGCAGGAAAGATGCTATATGGCCAAACGAAAGATTTGCACGAAGAGAATAAAATGTTCAAACAAAGTCTTGTGCCCAAACGAAGCAGGAAATGAACTTGCCCAAGTGAAGTCCAATGCCCCAATCGAAGCAGGAAATGAACTTGCCCAAAAGGAGTCCAACGCCCAAATGAAGGATGCAACCAAAGCCTACATCGAAGGATCCAAAGTGCCCAATCGAAGGATGTAAAATCAAAGAGAACTTGTTTTTCCTTCAATTTTGTCAAAAAGAGTATTTTCATCTGTTTTGCCCCTTTTAGCAATTTCCTCTTTAATCTTGATGCTGAAAAATCCAAATATATTTGTGTAAGCTTGAATTTTTGGGACCCCTTGTGAAAAATGCCTTGAGAAATGAGAGGGAAAATTTTGGGGTACAACAAATATGTGTCATAATTGCAACATAGATGTATATGTTTCGAAATCGTATACCTTCATAAATTTTCGTGTAATTGTCATGAATTGTAAAAGGTGCTTTCTTATCATCAGAATCGAAACCGAAATCTTTATCGAATATATACGCTATAAAAGAAGGATAAAGTTATTTTCCTTTTTGTGACAGTTTGTAAGATCAAACATAATCTGAAATAATCATTGTTAAAATAAAATAGCAGAAGGCAATATAGTTACTTGCAAAAGGGTCATAGTCAATGTCTTCGTCCGAGTCAATGTTAAAATCCAAGTTGATAGTAGGTGTAAAGATAGGAGCAACAAGAGTTGGTGATTTAGTTGAATTTGACACTGGTATGTCCACGGAGGTAACATGTCGCCTATGTTGCTGCGTGATATTATGGTCAGGCAATTTTGTTCTACTAAAATTCCTGCTTAAGTATGAAAATGCACAGAAGTTGAATTAATATATGCCAAGTTGATTACGAATTATTTAATGCTAAAATACAAATTTATTGATTGCACTATAGTAACATGTACCTAGTTTGTGAATTAGCTTCAACTATTCTGTAAGAAGTGGAAGTTGATATATTGGCAACATGATTAGGAATGTGTTTGCTCAAATTCAAGGCGAGATTTGGCACTCCCAATGCTTTCCTAGGCCTGCCACGACCTAGTTTGGTATTGGTTGTAGCTCTGGTATAAGTCTTTCACACAAATAACTGTTACAAAAGACGAGTACAACTAATTATGATATTCAACTAAACATAACATTGATAAATAAAGGATTAGTATAACTAATGCTTTATAAACACGAGTAGTAGCATACATAACATAATTAGTCGTTCAAGCTAAACATAATATTGATAAATAAAGGAATAGTATGAATTATACTCTGGTTGAATTCCCGAACAAAAATTTCATTCTCGAACAGAAGTTGCAACTTCTGCATGTGCATGTTTATGTACAGTTCCTTGCAACGGTTCTACAATGTTAACGCGAGTCTTCACATTTGGTTGGCTATTATTTTGTGGACCCCTATAACATAAAGTTATGAGATTTTGAACATTTTCCAAATATCTAATACAATTCTTTCTTAAATGATGCGAGTTATTTTATATTAAATAACAAGACCTTATATGCACATGTAATGTAACAATAAGGATATTCTTCTGCTTAAATGGCATTGATGTTTTACAACTTGTTGACTTGAAAAAGTTATTAACGGGGTAGTTAACATACTAAAAATCCAAACGTCATTAGGTGTCAGAGATTAATTAATTCGATGATGAAAACAAACTTACATGGTTTTATAAGAAGAACTTCCCACCTCAAGGATGTTTTTGCGAGGATCACCCAACCGATGTTGTGTTGCATCCACAGTAGAAGTTTGTGCATTTTCATTAGGGAGAAAGTCAGAATAAGTAGAAAACTTTGACATCAAATTAGTTCCTAAAGAATCAATTTGTGATGACCTGATATTTATTCTAAAGTCATGTCTGTTTAGGCTAGGTGCAGAACCTTGAAAACACGCACTTAGCATAATACCTTCTTCCACTACTTGTGCAATAGATTTTTGGTTCTGCATTGACGGAGTAACATCGTTTAATGATTATCTCCGTGACAAGTTATCTGACTGAAGAAGAATGTTATTTTAAACTATATGTTGCTGGGGACTAACTTTTTGCCGCTTCAAACGATTTTCCTTCATAATAAGTGATCTCATAGCCCTAATTTTTTTCCCGATCCTATGTTGTCGTTAGGCTCCATAATCTACATAATTAAACATAACATGAATGTTTGCCATATATGGTATAAATAAGTGTAACACCCTTAACTGAATTAATTACTTTATATTTAAAACATATCATATGTTGTCTTTGACTTAATTCACTACTATCAAAGATTACATGTAATGAATAGAAAGACACGTCAATTTGCAAATAATGCCTAAACATGTTACATCATTTATAATAGTTAGTGTGGTGCATTTCCGAGTTACATGAACAATAAGAACAAATATAGTTAGTGTGTTGCATTTCCAAGTTACATTCGTATGTCCTATTATTCTTAAAGCTTTATCTTAAGCACATACAAAGTATGCTTTCAATATTCTAAGACTTGAAGACAAATTAAGTTCACTTAAAAGGTGCCTTGAATAATCATGCGCACCACCGAGTATAGATACAAACCAATAATAATCAATAAATCAACATGGACCTTGTCAAGTTACCCTATTCTTAATAGAATATTGTTATGATGATCAACCATGGATACAATGTAAAGTCTAACTGTGTGCATAAACTCCCTTGTTATGAGAGTCACAATAGTTGGAATTATTTACCTGGTGTAAATGGTATTTCCTTCTATTTGCAAAATTATTGTTTCTGGTCAAATGTGTTTTTTGTTTGAAATTGCAGTTAGCCTACCAATGCAGTTGAGAAGTGTAGTTAATTCTGAAAATAAACCAAATATGTTTTGAAATTTTTTTGTGGGTCTTCCAATATAATTGTCAGAAACATTGTCTTCAAAATACTTGAGTTAACATAACAACTAGTAGTTTCAGCAAAATGGTCCTATTGAAAAAGATATTAGGTCCATAAATAAATTATCACATTGGAAGACATTATTTATAAGCTAGTCAAATGTAATTGCTTATTCTAGTTAGCCTGTTCCATTGAATTCGAAGGGTAATATATTTCACTAACATGGTATCATTACAAAGATGTTGTAGTTTCAATGTATCCTACTGTCTAAATGCAGGTAGCACAGGAAAATGAACACAAAAAGAAAATTGTGCATGTACCTTGTTATCCAGCCATTGAAGCAAAAGCAATATAATAATACTAAATTAACAATCATTACACAAATCTGACCGCTGGAGAAGTAGTTGAACCGTTGCCAACTTCGTACCATACACCCTAGAAAAGCCAGTAGAGCATGGAAAGATTTATAAAGGTATGTTTAGCATTTAATTATGAAATGACATTAAGTATGATAAAATTTCAAATAGCTATAATATTGTCACATCATTTATCTGTCATGATGCAAAAATGAAGATAAAGTTTCTATAAACCTTCCATTTCAAAGATCAAAACAAAGAGTTTTGGCTCGAAAAAAACAATAATATTAATTCATTTCCAAACTATATATTTTTATGGTCACATGCATTAGACTTATTTTGAAATTGCATAACGGTTAATCATAAGGAACTACCCTAAGCATGTCAAACCAGTTTGGCATTCTTGTTTAAATACATAGGGAACTAACATGCAACCCTTTATATAATTGATTATCCTATCGAAGTTGGAAATATAATCTAAAGGGGATAGAAGACCTAAAAAACACGAGAATTTCCAAAATTATATAGTGGCATTGATAATTCAAACATAATCAGTTTATGTATAAATGTATTCTAAGTGCACCACCTTGATCTCTTTGTTGTGATACTGTTGCTACTGCAAGATCGTTGTAGATAATATGTATATGTTGTTAGTTATTTAAACATTGTTTCTCATTGTATATAGTATGTATATGCATATGTAATTGCGTAAATGTTGTGTTATAATAATACCAATAAGCATAAATTGCATCATTATTACATGCTATTAGTAAGTGTCAATTGTAAATGTTCAAACGTAGTAGAAGTTTCTAAAGATGTAAAGTATTATAAATTTATGCATTTGTAGTTGTTTCTCTTCACCCAATGCAGTCAGGCTAAGATTTAGAAATAGATATAAGTTAGCAAATACGGATGAGGATTTTTACACTATGCATAACTTAAAGGAACTATTATAGTAAAGGTGTATCGAACATGGTTGAACTGATCATGACAGGTCGTGTATAGTTTAAATGATAGGGGAAAGTAAAAATGCATATTGATAGCTTCCAATTCGAACTAAGCATATGTAGATAATGGCTAGTTTTTTTGAACTAAAAGTATGCATCAAAGGTAATTCACATAACTTTAAAAGTGTAGTACATATGTCTTAAATAGTACATATGTCTTAAATGATGAGAGAAGAGCTACAAAATAATGCATCAAAGGGAATTCACATAAGGTAAATAAAGTGCATTACATAAAAAGTAAATGGTCAGTTTAGGCACAATAGTTTGCATCAAAAGTTTAGGCACACCCAACAGCAGACACAAAACATATCAATTTGGAATCAATCCTTACAAAATATGGTGCCAAATAAATGATGCATGAAACCATGACCATGTAGATGAAATAGGGCCAGCATGTCACTCCTTCTTTAAATGCTTGACTTTCTTTCCTGGCTTGGCTTTAGTGGTTGATTGTTTAGGAGTTATGTCTGGATCGTCAAATGCATCATTAACGGATGTTGTGGCAACAACCCTTTTTGGAGGTGTGCTACTTGAACTTGCAGAAGGACTACCGGTTTGGTTAACTGTTGAGGATGGTTGAGCAGACAAGCATTGGTCACCAGTAAGTGGTATCTATTAATGATAGTAATATAAGATTAATAATTATTGTAAAAAAAATCTAAATTTTAACATAGTATTATATGTGCAAAATAATAGTGGTTGTACAAGAGATTAAGTGGGATGGATTATTGGATCAGTAGTGGAGAAATCCATAAGAGAGAAATTTGATGTTTGTTGGGAAAATGTACAAAATAAATATGTTTGACACATATAAGCATATATAATGTAACAAAGTCATTGAGATCTAATGTATTTGTACCTCATGAGGAGTTAGATAACTCTTCAATCTATTGTAAACATTGCCCCCATTAAGTATTGTAACAATTGAAAATTGTTCGTAAGTAGATTGATATTTGATATGGAATGCCATGTCTCTCTTAAGCAGAATGTCAAGGTGCACTGGCCATATTTTAGGGTTGTCTTCTCCAGCCTATGTAAGCAAGAACGTATTTAAGAATATGGTTATGAAATGTTTGGCTGGCTGTAAGAATAAAGAAAAGGCTAAGTAAAAGATTTTCTCACCTAAGCCATGATTTGTCTTAATTCAATATCAGTTGCCTTAGTGTAAGGTAAAGAATCCTTATCCCAAAATACAAATGTTCCCTTGTGGCTACCATATTCAACTTCAACTTTGATTTTGAATCTATAATACAAAAAGCTGAAAATGTTATAGTAGAATTGGATGGATAAATTTTACAATTAGCATGAATTAAAAATACGGATGACTCACTTAGTGACAGGTTCAACATCCTTAACTCCACAGTCACACTGAAATGTCTTCCTGGCCGACTTGTTCGAAGATTTGCCTGAAGGGCAAGTTTCATAATACCATCCAAACCTAGAAGCTTTGAAACACATCGTAGTGCCAATAGTTGTTGCGAAACAATACTTATGCGGGAAGGTTATACATTCAAAAAACAATTAGTATATGAAAATAAAAAATTGCGATCTTGATTAAATAAAAAGAGAGGTACCTTTTCGTCTTCAAAAATATCACGAATACTCATGACCTCATGAGAGCTAGTCCAGTTTTTGTTAGTGGGTTAAATATTTGAATCAGAAGTTAGTGAAAGATAAAGTGTATGTGCATTAGCTAAGTCAACTGTTCCAAAACTGCAAAATTAGAAATCAAAATTAACCCCCGAGTTAGAATAAGGATTCAATAGTATGAATATACATTGTTAATGAAGATATTTTTTCCTGGCTTTGAATGAATCAACTTGTGGATGATCTAAGTTTATGTAAAGTCGTGAGCCATTCCAAGCATTAGAAAGACTTGGCAATCTAGAAACTATATGAAAATGAAATGTAAACACTGAGAAAACAACAAATACAAAACACTATGAAAAATAACTATTGAGAGAGAAAATGTAAATCCGTCTCCTAAGATAACAAATATAAAATGAAATGTAAACACTGGGAAAACAACAAATACAAAATGTATGAACAAAAAATTATAGACCTAAATAAGTATGAACAAAAATATGAAAAATAACCATAAACACGAAAAACAACAAAAAATTCATCAAGAACAACCAAAAGTAAAACTGTTTTCGTTTTTCCATCATTTGGGGAAAGTCTTTTTAAGAAACATGACAAAAACATGATACATTTAACAAACTAGTGAGTTTAAAGAAAATTATTTTGCTAATGGAAGAATGACTTACAAAAGAAACATAATACGTTTAGCAAAGTAGTGGGTTTAGGAACTACAATTACATTAGAGAAAGATGAAGAAGAAAGTCTTGATAAGTCCGACTTAGGGTAGAGAGAGAGAGCATGTTTGTCAATAGGTTAATGAAAGCTGAAAGGTTAAGAAAGATAAGCATTACATAGAGGGTAATATAATATTTTAAATTGGATCAATCAAAATAGCACACTTGATGTTGGGTTGTCAATAGTTAGGAAAATAGTGAAACTAATTTGTTAATTACCTATATATCCATTTAGTAGTGTAAATTCAAAAATTGGAAAGGGCAAATTAGGAAGATTGCTCAATTTATTAGTATTAGCTTCATAGTAGAAGAGAGAGAGAGTGTTTCGGTTTCTCATCCGGTTCAGAAAAAACCGAACCTTGGGTCCAGCCAAGCCCAATTGACATTTGTCTTATGTATTTTAATGATGTTTGGTAAAATGTTCTGAGACACAAACAGGAGGCAGAGACGGTTCGGAACGAGCGACCGAGCGAGCGAGCAATAGAGGGAGATAGATAGAGCGATCTAGCGAGCGAGATCTCCAAATTAGGGTTTTGAGTTTCGGTTTCATCAAGGTCAGTGAGAGGCTAATTCACCAAATTCTTTCAATTTTTCGCATTTCGTTTTATCTAAATCCAACCCCAAAAGCAGATTTTTCATTTGATGATGATGGCGATTTTTTTGTGTGAGAAAGAAGTGTGCTTGTTATGTGCAGGGAGGAGGAGAAAGTGTGAGATTTTTAGAGAGAGAGGTGTGAGAACGCTGAGAGATACCAAGAGGTGGATAGAGTTTTTTTGTTTTTCTTGTTAATTTTCCCTTTCAGAGTGGTGCATAGGGATTTTTTCCTCTACAGCTTTTCAATCTCTAAAGTTAATCTTTGTTCAAATTTCGAATGGAACAACGAAAGCTTGTGGTTAGTTATGCAGATTCAATTCGTTATGTTTTTTTTTTACCTTTTAATTGCAATAATCAAAATTTTGAATTTGTTTCTTTTAGGTTTTAAACTGGTTACTTGTTTTGTATGTTTGTTTGTTTGTTTGTTTGATGATTTGTGTTCACAAAATTGCATATTAGGTGTTGGGTATCCCGTGGGATGTTGACACTGAGGGCTTGAAAGAATACATGAGCAAATATGGTGAACTAGAAGATTGCATTGTCATGAAGGTTAATATTAACTACCCATTTTTCTTTGTTTTGATTAATTATGCAATTCAGGATTGATTGTTTACCATATCAATGATGTTTGTATGTATAAACAAGCGTGCCGTGCTCATTATTCAATTGCTAACTTAATAAAGAAGCGCGTGTGCCCATTATCCAAGAGCGTGTTATTGAAATATCGTTGCTAACCGGTTAGAGTAATAAACCATTTTTGTCTTCCAAAGCTATGCAATAAATTGCACTGTGTCAGACAGTTGGTTTGCAGTTAGTTACAAGGCTGGGCTTTTGTAATTTGTTCAGTTATAATCTACTCCCTTAATACACTGCTATCGTCGTGCACAGTTGCTGAGTTATTGTGCAGGGTGGAGCCTTGCAGCAATACTATCATCTGGTAGCATAGCGTTTTGCAAGTGCAGCTGTCGTGTTTGCAAATTGCGTTGGAATCATTCACGAGGGAAATCTGAAAGAAAAGATGCATAACCTGGATTTTCTCACTGTTTCTGGTTGCCTTCCTTCCTACAAGGACTAAGTCTACCTCTGTTTTCCAGACAGCTTTGTGTTTTATGGCCAGCTGTTTGTTTTATGGCCAGTTCAGGACTCCCACTTGTTTGTGATAAAAGGGAAAAACAGAAAATGCTTTTTTGTTTTAGGTTAAAGAATCGCTGAGTGATACTTATTTTGAGTAAAGGAGCCATTAAGTAATATTTGTTTTAAGGTTTTAATTGTTATTTTTTTATGTTTATTTTGTCTTTTGTGAATGATGGGCCCACTACAATAGGAAGTGGGTTGAGCTTTAGTAAGGTTTTAGAAAACGGCGACAAAATGGTATTGGCAGGTGCTGACACCAATACTGTTATCACCGTTTTTATGTTAAAGAACAAATTGTGGTTAAGTCACACCGCAACGACCGCACCACTTTTCCAGTTTGGGTTGACCGCTCTGCTCCAGCATCCAAGATGAACAACGAAGGATACATCTGTCAATAGTTTGGTCATATAATTCTAAAAACATCAAAATGGTTCTTTAATGAGAGTTTTGAAGAGTTTGGTTCTTTTTATTTTGCTTCCCTGATAGATTAAATAAGGTTACTTCGTATGGTTAATCCGTCTTATTAAAATTTGACCAAGTGTTACATTGATGTTGACTACCTAACTCTACCCTCTTATATCACTTTTGCTTGGCACTGGCTATGTTAAAAATAACTAAAATGAACTACATATATAGAAATGCTATCACATATTATGCACAGAAAACTCCCTGCACACTCTTATAGTTCATTTCCCAGCTTAATTATCTGAAAACCGAAGAGAAAAAGCAACATGCTTAGACTATATGCGAATAAGATCAAAATTTGTTTTATCACCTTCACACTGAATGTGAAATATAAATGTTATCTATAGGGGTATGTTTGATCTCCCCTATACCATTAAGTTTGCTGGATATGCAGTCTAATCTACTTATTTTAATTTAGGAGCGTTCAACTGGACGATCTCGTGGTTTTGGATATGTTACATTTGCTTCAGTGGATGATGCCAAGGTAACTTTCACCTTGTATTGCAGGTCACACTCACATCTACTTGTATATCACACTCACTTCTACTTGTATATCTTGAATTGTATGTCTTTTTGGCTGCAGGAAGTATTGTCAGCTGAACATGTTCTTGGTAATAGGATGCTTGAAGTCAAAGTGGCTACACCAAAGGTTACAAAAACATGAGTTTAATGAAGATGCACTGACAGTGTAAATTTTTTTTACACTATCATCCAATAGAAATATATCACTCTGCCATGTCATAAAAGTAATTTAAAAATTTCAGTTTGACTTGGTGGGATGCATGATCGTCATTGGTTGACAGTGTAAAATTAATTTACACTATTGGTGCATCATCCTTTTTCTCCAAAAACATTTCTTTGAAACTTAAAATCTAGTGGTTCATTTCTTCTTTACTTGTAGAAAATATAAAACTGTCTGTTATAATTGCAATACTAATTCTTTGATGTTTACATTTACATTTTAAAGGAGGAGATGAGGGCCCCAGCCAAAAAAGTTACCAGAATTTTTGTGGCCAGGATTCCACAATCAGTAACAGAAGCAACTTTTAGAAGGTATATAATTGTTGGTATCTTTGTTTAAAAAATCCAGACTTACGAGTTCTTTTTCTTTGGTAATATACTCTTATCAAGAATATATGAGGAAATTTATATAAGTTGTCTTATGTCCTCCTTTTTTCTTCTTTTTATTGCAGTCATTTTGAGAAATATGGAGATATAACAGATTTGTACATGCCAAAGGTATTTTCCTCCCGTTGACTGTGCATTGAAGACTTATGCATAATTTACTCTTCTATTTATTATTAATTTGAATTTTATCATATAATTTTTTATGTATTTCCAACAGGATCAAGGCTCAAAGATGCATCGTGGAATTGGTTTTATCACTTTTGAAAATGCAGGTTGGGCCATTTATTGTAGCCTATGCATGTGCTTTACTTATAATATAACTGTCCGCATATTTTAAATATATGCTATTTATCATGCTTATTTTCCTAGAAGTTATCTTTGGTAGTTATGTAGGGATCTTGGTTATAACTTGAAAAAGGGGAGTTTTGACCGTACTTGCTATCTGCACTATTTTCATGTGTACTATCCGCACCATTAATGTTTGCTCTAACGAAGTTGTTCTATTGTGCAGAATCTGTGGAGATTTTGATGTCAGAAACCCATGAACTCGGAGGTACTGCGGTAGTGGTTGATCGAGCTACACCTAAGGCAAGTGTTTGAATAGCTTCTCATATTATGGAATAATAGTTTGTGAAATTCCAGAATGGTGCTCCATGTCTAATGAAGGCGTTTTTCAAAATAAAATAAAATAATACTAGTGGGTTTCAATTCCATGTTGTTTAGACCTAACTATTGAAGGATATTGGATGGATCATTTTAATTTTTCTGTATTATAATTTTGTTGTACCATTTTTATAGGAAGATGACATTAAGCCAACTGGCAGAATGTCACAGGGAGGATATGGTGCATACAATGCATATATTTCTACAGCAACTAGATATGCAGCACTTGGAGCTCCTACTTTGTACGACCATCCTGGCCCAATTTATGGAAGTAAGCATGGAAGCATTGCTCACCTCTGTTCAATTAA